TGTTGGAAGTGTGTTTTTTAAACACTCCAGAGCAGGCTTTTCAGTTCATTGAACTGTCTTCAATTCTTTTTTTATTATTATTATTTTATTTTGATAATCTTTACATTATTATGGCACAAAGAATCAAGGGCTACAGGAAAGTGGGTAAGACTGTTATTTCCACAATTTTTTTTTTTGGTCTGTGTTTTGGAGAAGGGGAAAGATAAAGGGAGAAGCCACACCCACCGTCCCAACCATCTCAGGGTCCCTGACATGGGGCATGCTCCGAAGGCATTGATCAAGTGGTTTTGACAGTTGAGCAGTTCTGAATTGCTGCCAATCTCGCCATTCCAAGCATGCTGAAATGTCTCAAGAATCCACTGGCTGACATAGTCCACCGTAGAGTATGCGTTTGCCCGGATTTTTGCTGCCAGCACATGATTGATTTGTTTTGTCCTCCATCCTCTGTTGTGGTACCAGTTCTGATGGATTGCCGTATCCTCCATGTGCACCTAGATATGTTGTCATTGCTCCATCTGAGCCTCTGAGGAGGCTCAGCTTTGACACTTGCACTCCATGGTCAGACTGTGGAACCTGCGCTTCTTTTTATGCTTGCGATTCTGAGATCAGTTCAGTTGAAGGGATCCCCAGCGAAACTTAGTCTGAGGTGATCCCAGACCTGATTCTTGTGTGTACCTGCCAGTACAGGGTCCGGCACAGTCCGTCGCCCCAATCAGCTTATGATATGCTGCTGGTTGCAATTGCTGGGTCAATTCTGTCTCTAGCTCTGTCTTCTACATGAACCAATAGGTGTTGGAGTTCAGCCTGATCCTGCCTTCCATGTACTCAGCCTTTAATAAACCAGTAGGGGTTGCAGCCTAGTCAGAGCGATTCCCCATAACCCCCACCAGGCCCGCTCCCTACCCTGGTTCCCAAGCTTGACAGTATGTACGTTTGACTGGTCCAGTCTGTCTCACATCCCGTTCAGCTCTCGCACATGTCAATGGGCATTGAAGCCTAGTTCAACACAACCTGTCCTACTATCCAGCCCACACCCAGGTGGCGGTTGCCATTCTGTCTAGCCACCCCTGCGCTGGTCCTGGTTTTCATGCTCTCCAGTGGGAGTGGTAACCCAAGAGGGAGGTGCCCACTGTTTCCCTACTGGACCCACTTCCACTCCTGGATCATGTACTCTCCAGGTGGTTCTGCAGTTTCACTTGACAGAATTAGCCCCCAGTGTCAGCATCTGCCAGTTGATGCCATGGCAAAGCCCAATCTACGCTCACCCACTAAAATTTATGCTTGCACCAATAGGAATAGTCAGCCCAGCCTGGCTTTTCCCTGATCTAGCTCACATGAGTCTCACAGGTGTTGTAGCCCTGCCTGGTCTGGTCTGCTCCCATCCCAACTCATGCTCTCCAATGGGTGTGGTGGTCCAGTAGGGGAGCCTTCCACATTCCCTCTACCACCTTTGCCCCCTCCCCCTTGGTTTTCATATGTGCTGGTTGGGTGCTGTGGCCCAGTGTGGCATGGTCCACCTCACTTTGGCATTTGCCAGTGGGTGCTGTAGCCTGGCCCAGCCTGGCCTACCTCTAATTCCCGCTGATGCTGGTGAGGGTTACAGCTTAGCCCAGCCAAGCAGGCATCCAGTTCCAGCCATAATGTGTACTGGTATGTGTTGTGACCAAACCTGGCCTGACCCACACTCCATTCTGGTGCTAGGATTCTCCAGAAGTTGATGTGAACTGATTCAGCCTGGTCTGCCCCTGACCTATGCCAAATGTATGCCAGTGGATATCTTTCCCTGGCCTGGTCTGAACTGCTCCCTAACGTGGTTCTTACGTTCACCTGTAGGGACTATGAGGAGTTTCCCAAACTCCTCCACCAGAATCTCTCCCTGTGGCTGATCTTGCATATACCAGTGGGTCCATGGGCCAGCCCTACTTAGTCCACCTCCTGTCCTGGCAGTAACAGTGGCCTTTCCTGACTGGCTTTCAACCCATTCCTAGCCTGTACCATGTGATCGTCTGTGAGAATTATGACACACGAGGAAAGTTTTCCAAGTTCCCCCACTTGGCCCACTCCCAGATCCAGATTTCATACATGCCAGCAGGTGTTGGGCCAGTACCCGGCATAGTCTGCCCTTCTATCTTGGCCTTGTATGAGCTGGTGAACATTGTGGCCTGACCCGGCCTGCCCTACATACAGGTGCTACAGCCTGGACCTGCCCAGACTGTTATTGGTCCCTGCACCCATGAGTGATGGCAGGTTCCATGGTCTCACTTAACTCAGCCCATCACCACCCCAACTCTTGAGCTAACCACAGGACTTGTATTTCCACAGGGTTGGGCCCACACCTCCCTCCCTGACAAAATCTACCCCTGGATTTGGTTCTCTTGTGTGCTGGTTAGTGTCCTGGCCCTGCCTGATGTGACCGGTTCCCTATTCCAACATTGTCAGGTACTAGGATCTAGCCCTGCTAGTCAAGCCTCCAGCCCTAACTTTCACGTGGACTGACATGTGGTGGTCAGCGTTGTTCGGTGGTAACAAGTTCTACACAGGACTCACATATAGGTTGGTGTATCAATCTGACCCATACAGATCATCTGGCCTCTCCTCTCCAAACCATCTTAATACCTTTGCATACATTTAAGTAAAGTGACCCTGTCATTGGGAGTCACTCAGGATTGATTCCTCACCAACTTGCGCAGTGGCCTCATTTGTAGAAATACCTAGGCAGCAATTCCACATCCCCAAGACCCCAGAGTTTGCCGCCAGGTGTCCAGCAGGCAGAGCCTGGTGCTAATTGGCATGCTGGCCACCCAAAGCCAGGACTCGCTCGCCATGTGGCAGTGGTGGCTATGACCAGGGCGCCAAGCATTGAGTTCAACCTGGAATCTCTCTGCACCCAAGCCCCAAGGTTGAACTCCCCTAGGTCCCTCCCACTGCACAATGTTGGTGGCAGTTGGAGCCAGGACCTGCCTTTGCTCCAAATAGATCTGCTGCTAGTGTACTCACCAAGAAGGGAGAAACCTTTTGGGCCCAAGCAAGCCCAGGACTCACCATGTGGCTGTGGCCAGGGCCCTAAGCATCAACAACTGCCTTCAATTCTAATAGCCGAGACCAAGCTCCAGAGTCCGGTAATTTCTAGGATCACTCCTCAGGTGTATCTGATAGTCAGTGATGCTGTCACTTCCTCATTCTCCACTTCTCCTTTTGCTCCTTCCAGGAAAGCTTCAAGTTTACTTCCATCCTTCTTTCTCTGTCTTTTCTGATTCATGTTTTAATATTATCAGTTGGAGAGCGTCCTAGTGTTTTTCTGTTCATTTATCTGAGAACCTTTAAGTATAGTCATAAACTTTTTAAAAAAATTTTGTTTTGTGACACAGTTTCATATGCTCTGGGATTCACCCATCCCCTTTCCATGCCCTCCCCCCATGTAGGATTCCTCCACATTGTTGCAGTAGTACAGTTTCTATCCATTCATGATTCCTTCATTGCGAGCATGTACATGCATAGAGTCCAGCCTCTAATAATTTCAACAGTTTCCTTGGGAGACCATCCCTAGTCTGAAAGTAGAGGTGGCAGAATATCATCCCCTCCAATGAAAAGCCACAACATAACATCAACAACAATTTACAACATCATGGAGTTAATTGACATGACATTGAGTGACCAATATGTTAGAAAATTTAAGTTCTTAACCACATCCTGTGACTACTTCATTGACATTTCAATTTTGGTTTGTACACAACCAGTTGCTATACACCTTAGAATGACTATAGGGCACTATTTAGGTATCTCGTGTCTATTCTCATTGTTATATTTAACAGCTTATAGTTTTGAAGCATGATTTTTACTGAACTTGGCGAATTTTAGGATAGTCCAAACAGGCTTATAACTCTAACAAGGCATATGTTAACAATTGAGGCACAGAACAGTTTTAGGAGGGGTGTGCAGAGAAATCTTCAATACCTTAGTGAGGAATGACTGATTTTGGTGTCCTACCTAGTAAGATATATGGGAGTCTAAGCTGACTGTTTCCTGTCTGTTCTAAGCTTTCCTTATTAGTCTCTATCTGATCTGATTTTTTTGGTGGCGGGGGGTGGGGGGGCAGCTCCTACGGAGCGACCCTGATGATCATTGTAAGAGAGGTTGGGAGCCAAAGTTGGAACTAAGTAAGGACCAGAGAAAGCTCCTCTCCTGAGTCCTGAAGGAAGTTTACTGTTCTTCTGTTTCTGAGCACCACTCAGGATTCCTGGCTGTTGTTCTGATGATATTCGATCCTGTGAGGGAGGATTTGGGCTTCTTCCATCTGTGTGGGAGATAAGAAAGGGAGTGGAAGACATCAGAGTTCTCAGCCTATGAGGGCACTCCAGTTCCCTGTGGTCTCCTTGACAGTTGGGATATAGCCCTTGGTGCCTGTAATGATAGTCCCTGGTGAGGATCCGAGAGTCTCCAGGGTTGCCATACAAGCCTCCTCCTGTCCTCCTCCTCCACTCTAGGGTCACCCCCCTGCTCTGTGCATATGACCCCCCTGTCAGGAGGCTGTCCGGATTGCTCTTGGATCCCACTGTATGACTATAGTTTTTGCTAATGTCTAATGCAGATTTGAGTCTGCTGTCTGTAACTTACCTGTTATATTCTTGATAGGTTATACTTAACATCTTCCTCACACACTCTAAGAAGGTGGAAGATTTCTCTGCTCTCCTGACCCTTTACAGAATAACACAGGGTATTAAAAGCATATTAGGTTTTTCAGTTCTTTGACGTAGATCAAAGAACTGATTGTGGTTCATTGGTTACATCACAGTATCTTATTGCATGTGGTTATTACATGTAACCTGAACTATTATATACATTTTGTTTCTTGCCCTCGGTTTCTTTGAATGTTGTAATTGCTGAGCACGCTTTCAAAAAAAAAATCAAAATTGATGTATTCAGGGTGTTGTTGGCAATGTCCACAGGCTCTCTGTGGTTCATAATGGCCTCCATTATTTTTTCCTTCTCTCGTTTTTCAGAGTAAAGATGGCAAAAGTCCACTTCACATGACAGCTGTCCATGGAAGGTTCACTCGATCCCAGACCCTTATTCAGAATGGTAAGAGAGGTGCTGCTGGGGTTTTGTTGTTTGAGGTTTGTTGATCTGACTGGATTTGGCTGTCAGTGCCTGGATGTGGGAGTTGATGCCTGTTTTATATAAGCATGGTTTCATGCATCCCTTTGAATGCTCTGCTAAAACCTCCTTGTCAGATGCGTCATAAACTTTTAACTTACTAATGGTAACATAGTACAATACTTTCCTCATTGACTTCCCAATCAGATGAAGAAACAAATAAAAATAATCAGTATACATTTTCTAACAGAAAATCTTATTTTAGGTTTTAGAAGTGATTATAGTTTGCTAAATTAAAACTCATTAAGCCCTTTAGGCAAAGGTGAAAAGGAGGCGGGGGTGACTCTGAGGATTACAGGTAAATGCATGATGTAAAGGATAATAAAAAATCATTGCCTTGACAGAGACCTTGGTAAATCACCTGCTGTAGTAATTTTCCAGGCTCACAACAATGTTTTACTTGAACCGTTGGGTTGTCTATGAAGGCCACACACTGGGAAGTGTCCCTGTACCTCATGGTTCTTGCAACAGTTAGTATTGGCTTTAATCTGAGACTGGTTTGACTTTAACAGCTCCTGCTATTTTAGCAAATCTTTAGCAACCATTTTTTTTAAAGCAACAATCAGGCTTAGTCCAGATCTTATGTTGACATTCCAGGTCACTTCAGCAGTTATTTTTTTTTTCCAAAGGAAAAAGAACCATTTCACATTTTATTGGAAAGCTCCATGGTAGGTAATTGACAGAGAAGCGAACACCACGGATTGTTCATCACATGGGAGTTTCATTCATTTGAAACATGAGCGTCTGCTCTCTCTTCTCAGGAATACCTGTGCAAAAGCCATCTCAGGTGTCCCAGGCAGAGGAGGATTTTTGAGCGGGGGCTCACCATCCTTAAAGGCCCTCGGTGGGTTCCCATCTTTGGTTGGAGCTCCTTGCCTACAGCTCCCAGCTGCTGCCCCACGGAGGCTCCCTGGGGCCCAGAACCTCCCCCATGCCCACCGTTATGCTCCTTCCTTGCCAGGTTAGTAGTCCTGGCTTGATGGGCTACAGGCATACTCTGCAGACACAACAAGCAGACAGGCTCGGGCCACTTTGCAAAGTGAAGCTACCCCCTAAGCAGTCTTCCTGTGCACCACTTTCAAGTCCTCCCAACTAAAACCACTTTCATAAAAGTACCCCACTTCAGCAATTCTAAACTATCTTCTGTTGACCCACGTTTCTGCTTCTCCAGTTTCTTTGTTCATTTTCTTCTAGCTATGTTTTCTTATCTGAGAATGTTGGATGATGCACAGTTGAATTGTTAGTGGCACTAAGTTTATGTCTCTGGCACTTACATCATAAAAGCAAAAGATTGTCTGACATTTGGATGAAAGACCAGCCAGTGAAATTATGCTTAGGAAGCAAAATACCTGTGGCAAAGTACAGAAATTTATAAGCCATTCAATGGAGCTGTCAGGGAAAATAAATCTTAAAAACTTTCCAGTGATCCAAGGAAGGTAAAGTGGAAATGAATTGCATGAATCCTGTGCCTCTGGCATCATTTCACTGCAAGGGGGTCACTTTCACTGTTTTATTTTGCTGAATGTTCTACCTTCTTGAAGGCCAAACAAAACTTTTTTTGAAGAAATTTAGTGTAAATTTAATCAGTAGACCTTAGTTCCTTATTAAAACAACCCCAGAGTCAAGTGCCAGAGTCAAGGTTGGCGGAAGAATGGTTTTTACCTCATAAGTACTGCCTTCCCACAGGTCCATTCCTGAGTGCCAGACACACTGGTCCTCTTTTTGCATCAAAACCATGATCTGTATCCCCTTTCATGTTGATATTCTCATCCCAGCCCCTGGGACCTGCTGGCGGTTCTGAGCCATCCGAGAGCCATGTGATAAGACTTTCTTTACCCCCTTAGGCATTCTTGGCAGAGTTTGGAGTTGAAGAAAGACCTGAAGGAGACTGTGTCTCATACCTTCTAATCAACAGCTCTGTGGTTCAGAGGCTGTCTTGTTTTTGGCTGGCCTGGCATCTTGCTTTTGGCATGAGTGGGGCCCGGAGGCATGAACTGAGAAGAATGTATTGGCTGTAATAAATGACCCACTTTTGTGTAATGGTTAAAGCTTACATTGATTGTTCATCCAATATAGGCACTCATCCAAGTACTCATGTAAATCCTTTCAACTACCCTATGAGAAAAAAAGTCTCCCTCTGAGCTCCATTTCACATACAGAGAAATCAGGACAGTGTGGTTGTCATTTGTGTTGGAGAACAGAGGTCAGAACATAGGCTGTCTCACATGAGTCTGAACTCCAACCACTGTGCTTACACATGTATTCTCTGGAGCAACAGTGATATCTGGGTATCCCATTTATATATAAAATGAACTCTGTTTACGAGGCACTCACACTGCGGTACTGTTACACCCACATGAGAACTGCAAGTTCTTTCTTCTGACATTTCAGAAAACGTCCTTGGGGGAAAAGAGTAGGAAGTTCTTTTTCCTCTTGTTTATGGACTTCCTTCTGATAAGAATCCTGCCTCCGCAGGGATTCACATGCTAGCGTGGGTCACAGCACAGCAGCCACTCATCGTTCGTTCAGGAACTGGCACACTGGCACCAAGTGCGCTCCTGCAGCACACCAGGTGTTGTTGCTACATCACTCTGGTGTTTGGATAGCCTTGCTCTGCTTCTCTGGCTGATGCCAGTCAGGGTTGCTAGTTCCTCATAACAACATTGCTACCTCAGAAGATTTCAGTTCAGCTAAGACAATTGCTGGGGGAAAAAATACTCTCTTCTTTCTTGGGAAGCAAAGACTACCTTCACTGTCTAAGTATGTTTGTGGAATTAAGTTGCATTGTCACTTGAGAGAGGAAAAGGAACTAAATTAAGAAGCAGTTTGGGGGCTCAGCACAGTGGCCTAGAATCTAAAGTCCTCACCTTGCATGTGTTGGGATCCCATATGGGCACCAGTTCTAATCCTGGTGGGCCCTCTTCCCATCCAGTTCCTTGTTTGTGGCCTGAGAAAGCAGTCGAGGATGGCCCAAAGCCTTGGGAACCTGCACCCACGTGGAAGGCCCAGAGGAAGCTCCTGACTTCTGGCTTCAAATCTGCTCAGCCCTGCCCATTGCAGACACTTGGGAAGTAAATCATTGGACAAAAGATCATCTTCTCTGGCTCTCCTCCTCTCTGTATATCCACTTTTCCAATAAAAATAAATAAATCTTTTTTTTTTTAAAAAAGGCAAATTTGTATCAGGAGGCATGTGATCCAACCATTTGTACTCACCAGCTTTTTTTTGAGAAATTTGAATTTCTTATTCTGGCATTTTAGTGTATTTTAGATACATACACTGAACATAGTACTTACTAAGTCTTATGATGGTATAGTTCAGCTTAAACATGCCTTGCCTTAGGTGAATATGTTTAAAAATGAGCATAAAGCAAAAATATAAAGTAAATTGGTAGATTCTTGTATTTGATAACTTTGTAATGAGATGTACTCTACAATACACATTACAGCTTTCCATGAAGTAGAGCTTTAAAGGATAACAAGGAAATGGCACCCCAGAATAACTTCTGTGCCTCAATATTCCATGTTTCCTAAGATGTGTTTGCCTATCCAAGCACAAATACACACATGTATTTTTCTCTTTGCTGTGCTTCCGACATTGCTTCCTTACCTTTTCATGTAGATCTCTTTAGTTTTTCCTTGTTTAAAAGAGTATTTGTTTATTTTAAAAAAGAAAGAGAGATCTTCCCTCTACTGGTTCATTCCACAAATGGCCATAATGACTCTTGCTGGAAAGGCTAACACCAGGAATCAGGTAGTTGGTGCCATCTTCAGCTGCTTTCCCAGGCCCTTAGCAGAGAGCTGGGCTGGAAGAGAAGCAGCCAGAACATGAACCAGCGTCCATAGGATGCCAGGGTCATAGGTGTAGCTTTACCTGCACCACCTTAGTAATACTGACACCAAGGCCCTTCCTTTTTATTTGAGATATATCATTCATACACCATAAAATTCACTATTTTTAAGGTATACAATTCAGTGGTTTAAGCACTTACAGGAGGGTGTACAACTGTCACCACTGTCAGATTCCAGAATATTTAATCCTCCCCCTCCACCAAAACCTAATTCTCTCCTCCAGCACTGGAAACTACTAAGCTACTCTCTGTCTCTATAGTTTCCTGAGATCCTTGACTTGAATTTCTGTTTGTTTCAAGTAACTAACATGGAAACAGTCAAATAAGTCTCAAATTGGGGGCCCAGCCTTGAGATACAGCTGGTCCAGCTGCAGTTTGGGATGCGGGCATCCCAGTGGACACCAGTTTGAGTCCTGACCACCTCACTTCCAATCCAGCTACCTGCTAATGCACCTGGGAAGCAGGGGAGGATGACCAAAGTGCTTGGGCCCCTACCTCTCGTATGGAGGACCTGGATGAAGTTCCTGGCTCCTGGTTTATGGCTGGCCTCGATCTTGTCATTGTGAGAAGATACGTTTCTCCCTCTCTGTCACTCTGCCTTCCAAATAAATGCATCTTTAAAAGTAGCAAAGTAAACATCAAGTGAATCAGATATCTATTTTTTAAACATGAAACCTTTCCAGTATGGGAGACATGAGTCATTCCTTTGTCAATTCCTGAGTTCTTGCAAGATGAAAACTGTATCAATTAAGTCACCAAACAAAAACACAGGACATATCTGTGACCCATTATTTTGGAGACATGGATTATTCCCAGAATATGTTAAAGGCCATTAAAAATCAAAGCATAAGAAATCACAAATGTGCACAGGATTAATCAACAAAGGCCATAGAAATTAGTTCACAGAAAAAGATAAACAAGCAGCCCTTTATAAGAGGCTCAAGTTCCTTCCTCTAACCCGGGTGTGAATGGAAATGGCCCTGAGATAGTTTTCCTTTGAGAGGACAGATATCCAAAAGCCTGGGAGGACCCTGTGAAAGAGACATACCCATTGAGTGCTGGCCAGGGTGCTGAAGGAGGGACATTTGGCAGAGTCTACCAAAACTACACACTCAACTGCCCTGTTACCTAGAAATGTGCCTTTTAGGATTTTTCTCTGGAATTCTGTCTCATAAATTTGAAATAGCATGTGCACGAGGTGGTCTCCACTGCCTCATTACTAGTGGTAGTATGTTATTTATCCCCTAGATGTTTATCCACAGAAGACAAGTGTACAATGGAAGATGGAAAAGTTGTACTACTTTTAATATTGACCCCAAGGAGAGAGTCCCAGGATTTAATGTTACATGAGCATAAGTGGTTTTGCAACAAGAAGCATAAACTGAGGAGGTGATTGTGAGTGAGGACGAAGTGGAAGGGTAGGGATAAGGGTAGAAAACTTTTAAAATGGTAATTTTGATATTTGAAACCAGCAAATGTCTTGCACTATGATAAAATCAGGTTACAACCTGATTAAGTTGAGGAAACAAAGTGAACCTAACTTTGTCAAATTGACAATATGAAGGCTCTTTAAAAAGATCATGGAAATGCATGTTATGCAAAAACTATGAATAGATTTTTTTGTGCAGAAATAACATCTTTTGTTACATTTTTCCTACGAAGTTTTTGAAGTATTTTCTTAACAGAACACAGAATAAAAAAAATTGAGATAACTTTTGGAAATATATGAACATTGTTACAGGAAAATTTGGGGGTGAATAAAATACCCATACACTCAGAGCATCATCACACAAACAGCTGGTTAATTATAAAGGAGAGAGGACATTTTTGCATCAGCTGGTCCTCTGCTTAAATGCCTGCCACAGCCAGGTCTGAATCAGGCCTAAGTCAGGAGCCCAGCACACCGTTCAGGTCAAAGCCATGGGGGAGTTCAGGAACTTGAACCATCATCTGGTGCCACCCAAGATGCACAAATTCTTTTTTCAGTAGTGGTAAGATATTTATAAATTTATCACTTAAGTTTTTGTAATTATACAGTTCAATGGCAATAAGTATATTATTGTGTAAGTTGTCACTATCCATTGCCAGAAATTCCTGTGTTGTCAAACTGTAACTCTCAGCCTGTTGTAAGACATCAAACTTTGCATCATGTAGCAGTGAAGAAGATCCACCAGTACTTCATTTGCTGCAATGCACTGTGACTATCAGGACAACCCTGAAGCATGGAATGTGTGCTGTAGAACTCCTGGATGGCCCTCCAAAAGTATCAGTCACGTGAGAGACTTAGGAAAGCAAAGTGGGACAGGAAGATTGTTTTAGATTAGAAGAATCTAATCTAAAACAATAGGACGATTCTTCTAATCTAAAACAATAGGACAACCAAATGATATCAGAATCTTTGGATCACAGATTTTCAAATTTTGGGGACAACTAGAGAAACTAAAATGGGAACTGGGATTGGCTAAAGATCGTCCTATGTCCAGTCTTTTAAAGATGTTAACGGCACTGTGGTTATGTGTGAGAATGGTTTTGTTATTACAAGAAATATGCTTGGGTGAAATGAGATATCTAACTTATTTTTAAACAGCTCCTCAGATTAATGAATAGACCAGTTATGCTTACAAACCACATGCCTACAAAAAGAGAAGAGAAAAAATATAAAACAAAAGGTTGGGGTGGGGAAAGGAAAAATAAGATGAAAATATTATTTAAAAATAAGTATGAATAATAACATGGTAGCTTATAAATACAGGCACTTTCAGTTTATACTTTATGTTGTTACTCATTTTACCCCCATGTTTTAAGCAGGGTAATCAAAGTACATAAAATATTTTCCTGTATACTCTATTTCCTTTGATTCTTATGCTTTAGCGTGAAGTTTTCACAGGCCTTTAATTCAGCAGGTAAAATTAAAGCTAAATGTGCCTTCAGTATTACATTTTATGGAATTTGATTACATTGCTCATTCAGAGGAGGAAGCCGATCATGAGATCTTGAATCCTTAAATAAGATATCATATGCAGGCTCTTCAAAAGCATTTGCAATAGGCTTTCATTTATGCAGATATACTATCGCTTCTGCAGATGGTAACTGGATCCCTTTAAATGACATGTTCGTTATACTGCAGACCAGAGATGCATGCTGCAGTAGAAAAGGAAATCAACATTTGGCCAGCATGGGTGGTGAACACAGAACCTAGAATGGGACTTCTGAATCCTTTTGTGTTACCCTGAATTTAAATGTCTCTTTCAGGAGGTGAAATTGACTGTGTGGATAAAGATGGCAACACTCCTCTCCATGTGGCTGCAAGATACGGTCATGAGCTTTTGATTAACACCTTAATAACCAGTGGAGCTGACACAGCCAAGTAGGTTGATGCTAAAACACAGTGGAATAATTGCCATATGTGGGAATTCTGCCAAAGGGACTTGGCCATGTGATCGATAGTTCCCATTTGTTCTGATTAAGGTGGATCTGGATTATACTAAATGCAAATTACAATTGAAATAAATTAATCCTTAATAACAGGTATGTAGAACAATTTTATATTTTTTAGTTGTATCAGAATGAGACCTAGTCTAGTGATTTTGATTGAGTAAACTAGAACTTTATTCCTAACTCTGTTTAATAACCTCCTTCTGTCTTTTCTAACGTTTTGTATAAGTGTGGTAGGAAAACAAATAAATAAGCAAATTCAGGATTTATTCAGAATGCTTGCTTAGTTTTGATATTACAGTTAAGGATACTATGAGTAAATCTGCTATGTATGGAGGAGTGACCTGGTCTCATTTTACACTTCAGCAAAAATATGTGTCATTCGTAAGGGTCTGTCACAACGCTAGGTGATTCGGGGGAACTGCAGAAGTACCCTATGTGGTGGATATAGGAGGATGTCCAAGGTCACCTAGGATGAATAGCCATACAAGTCTATCATAAAGCTCTCAAGGAAACAGGACATAAATGACAAAATGTTTGGAGTGTCAAAAGGAATGAGAGAGTGTTGATGAGAGCAAAAGAGAGCATACTGGACCCAAATGTAGCATGTTAAGAGTCTTTATTTTCCAAAGTGACAGTACCTCCCCTAAACTCCAGGAGCCACTGCATCGAGCTGCCAAATTCAGGGATTTTAAAGCTCTCACTGTCCAATCAGATTGAGAACCATACTGAACAAAGTTTTTACTCAATTAACTAAGTAGATGGAGGCAAGAAGGGAGCTTCCTGTAGTTAACCTAACCTAGTACAATAGGAAGCATGAGGGGCCAGGTGAGTGGAGCCTCCAGAGTAATTTCCACTGTCATTTGTTCTGAATAATGCAGAAGACAGGAGGGGTGGGGTGCACACGGAACCTCTGAAGCTGGTTTCATGCCTTTAATTAACTTGAATGGTGTGAGAAGAGGTAGGAAGGGTGAGGTGTGGAAACTCCCATTTCTTCATACTGTCTGCTGTCAAATAACCTGTCAAATCGGCGCTAGCCATGAACCACTGTGCTCCATCACAGAGAGCCCAGAGGCGGTTGATACTTCCTGAAAAGGCGTCAAAGAAATGGTGAACTCTAGGTAGATGTTGGAAACTGAGACTAGTTTAAGCAGAGGGTGGCAGGCATCCCCAGCAGGAGCAAGAGAGTTCAGAATGCACCTCAGAGGAGAACTTGGCCAGAGTTGTGGAGTATCAAACTGTTGGGTCCTGCTCAGAAGCAGTACTTTGTGGGAGTTGGAAGCCCAGGTTTTGGTGGGCACTCCTTGTGCTTGGCTCCAATCCAAGCTGCTCCACATATGGGCTGTGTGACCCTTAGCCTGTTTTTACATTTCCTCATTTGAAAAATGGGAGTGCTAATAGTACCTATCCGCAGAATTTTTCTGAACCAAAATGACTTAACTATTTGTAAAGTTTTTTGGCACATGATAAAATCTGTATGAGTGTGAGGTGCATAAATATGTCAGCTAAGATTATTAAAAAAAAAAGACATGTGTGAAAAGCTCTTTGAACAATACCTAGAACATAGTAAGCTATCAATACATGCTAGCTATTGCCTTACTACTTAAAAATACATAGTAGAGCCACATTGAAGAGGTCCTTAAAATGCTTGAATAAAGACAGTAGCTTTGATTACAGGGATGGTGGGTAGCAATAACTAAATTTTTAGAATGGGAGAGCAGCACATACTAGCAATGCTATTTTGTCTGTAAAATATTGTGCAGTAGAATTGGATGTTTTGCTCTAAAATGAGCCAACGTTTAAATGGTCCAGGGAAGTTGTGGCAGAATCATTTTTAAAATCAGATTCACTGGAGATCAAGTACTGTGAATTGACATGAATGATTAGAGAATTCTAATGGATTTGCAGTATATAATGATTTACCTTCATTAGTTCAATACATTAAGTTTCACTGTGTGCCAATGAACTTTTGGGCTCCCAGTCTAGTGGTTAAGAAAAGAACAAGAGGCAGTGACTGTCATCTTGTAAAGGATTGTTGTGATGGAGTTTTTGGACAAGGCTATGGGAACAGAATCAGCAAGACACTGGATTTCCAGATTCTCCAGATTATGCGCCATCTCAGCCAAAAGAAGAGTGGGTAGAGCTGTGGTTTAGAAGGAGAGGGGATAAAGCAAGGAAGGGCAGTCAGGAAAGAGTGAATAGCATTGATAAAGAAAATGTTGAAAGCAATTTTTAATATTGGGTCATCTGGTGTGTGTAGGGGAATGGAACGAAGTGACGTGGAAAGGCAGAAAAGCCACATTTCCAGGGACTTTGAATGTCCTGCCAAGGAACTGGACTCCATTCTGAGGCATTCAGAAGCTATATCAAGGAATTAAAGGTGGCTTTAGGGTGGGTTGTGTCTAATGATCCCATTTGTGTTTGAGGAAGGTTGCTCTGACAGCCATTCCAACCTACTGGCCACTGTCCAGACTAGAAATTCTTGGCAGGCTCTTGCAAATGTCCAGGGAAGGAAAGATGAAGTCCAGGGATAAGGATGAGGCCAAGGGTCCACAGAAGGAGATTGCTGGCCAGTAGTATTAGTAGTCAGGTGTCTCTTCTTGGCAGAGAAAAGAATCTGCTTTAAGCCAAAGGGCCTGTTGTAAAGGTTGGGCTGCTGCAAACACTACAAGAAGTGGCTTGGTTTTTTGGGAAGAATCCGCATTCAAGTTCTGAGAATTTCTACAGGTTCTGGAGTTCCCACCGAAGCAGAGCTGCCCAAAGGCAGAGATAACAGATGTTCAGTGCTAATTACACAAAAGTGAAATATCTAGGCACAGGCCAACTTTACCTGAGTTATTCTCCTTGGTGTTTCCTTGGGGTATTTTCAGTGATGTTTTATTTCATCTTCACGTTACTTGGGGAAATTTTAGTCAATAGTCAAGAATTTTTAAATTTCTTCTGATCCTGAGTTCATTTTAAGGATAAAATGAACTTGGTCCAATAGTTAAAATCTCTCCCTCCATGCCCCATTTATTTATATAGTCTATTTCCTTCTAATTGTTTTGATTTCAATTTATGAAAACATGCCATGAAGCAAATGGGCCTTAGAAATGGCATTGTTGGACAAGGCTGTGGAGTAATTCTTGCTTCTGTTGGTGCTGTGTATCTCAGGGATCCATTTTTGGAAACCATTTTCCCAGGCTTAATGAACCACATACACTTCCTTCTGTCATAGCATATCTGAGCATAAGACCTGCACTTGCAGGGAAGTGATTTTGTGGGTGTGCATTTGTGGATCTGTGTATATGAGAGGAAAAAAAAATCACCTGAAGGGGAAATAGCAGAATTGGAGAAGATTAAATTTTCGGAAAGTCCTTTGGGAAATTACTGTTCTTTGGGTTTCATACAGGTTTATGTAGTGTAACTTACTAAAGAGGAAAAAAAGGGCTTTTTCTTCTCTAAATGTATGAATGAACAAGTAGCATTTACTCAAATAACCCATCTTTAATAAACAATATCCTCAGATATATTTTTACAAATCTCTATATGGCAGGTTTTGTCATTACTTTATCATGAATTTATTTGAATATTATGGAGAATTTTTGATGCTGAGCATGTTTTTTTGTTATTCTTCGTGCTTCTCTGAACATAAGTCCAAGCACTGTCTGTAACTTGACTCAGCATTCATGCAGCTTCAGGTGTCAGAGCCTTTGGTTTCTCTTGAACTTGGTTAGATTGGAGACACTTGTCTTTTTTGGTTTGTAATTTGCTTTCCGTCAACCAATTATACACACAGGCTTTTTTTTCTGTCTGAGCTGCAGAAGAATTAGAAATATTATAGACCTGAAGATAACAGCTCAGATTTTCATTCAGTTGGTACGTTGTTATTAAAGGCCTGTAAAGTGTCACTCAGGGTGCCAAGCTCAGTGGTTATAGAAATCCCTGCCATCAAAGAATTTATAATGCCCTGAGGGCAAGAATTAAAGAAGGAATTTCAATTCTGCTTATTGAGTGTAATACCAGAGCAGGTTTTTGGTGCTGAACGGTATAGTAAATCGTGTCTGGGACATTGAACCCTGTGTAGCAAAGCTAGGGAGACCTCCTGCCAGCAGCTATGCTTAGCTGAGACTGAAGAATGAGTAGTAGTTATTCAGATCTTGGTACTAAGAGTCAGGCATTGTGGTAAACTTATCTTTAGGATATTATTCCTTGAATATGTATAAACATAGGCCTAGATACATAAGCTGCTTAGAATTAGGACACTAGTATATTAATACATTTAAAAAGTATGATGCAAACGGAAACCAACAACACTTAGATAAACTGCCTGTAGTTCTGCAACAGCAGCCAATGCTCTTGAACACTTCCCTGTGCTAGACACTGCTCTTGGGGCTTACACGTAACTGTCACAGCAACCCAATGGGGTAGGTGCTGTGACAGTCCTGTCCAGCAGATGAAGCAACAAGGCACAGAAGAGTCAGTTGCCTTGGCCTAAGGCTGCAGAACTAGTGAGGGGAAAGAATGAGACTTGGTGTCCTAGGCTCAGCTTCTGAGCATGTGGCTTGAGCCTCTCACCATAGCAAATGATGTGGCATCACAAATGATATTTGCCCCTGGTAAATCTTCGTTTGCATAAGATTATGATCTGTTGGTCAAAGTAATAACTCTAGAGTTCAGTGTAAAACACAGGAAAGGAGATTCTGCCATGGCTCCAACAGAGTGGTAAGACAGTGCACTTGACACGCAGTGCAGAGACCCCTATTCCTGCTCCTCCAAATGTCAGGCAGAGTGCTCACTATACAGCATTATCATTGGCCTTCCTAAGGCTCAGACATGTCATTTGTCAGTTAAGTTCATCTTTGTTCTTTTCCTCTGGGCCCATTCTGACACTACACAAGCAGTATTGTGAACCTAAAGACAAATAAGGATACTGAAATTTGGCATGGTTTA